GGAATCAGTATGCATAAGTCTATTTTTGAAGCTTAATATGATGCAAACATTCTGTAAGGAAGTTCAGTTTTTCTGATAGGCAGGTTTAAAAAACAAACAAGCAAAAATAAAACTCCCTTATCTTCCCTTGTTCAGACTGAAGAAGGAGGGCAAAATTTGAAGGAGCTTCACACCTACTGAATACTTTCCTTACTCTGTTATATCATTATTGCCCCTCCAAAATTACCCAGAGAAATAACTGTTGTTCATATAGTCATATTTAACTCTTGTTTCACCTGTTTAATCATTCTCTTTTACCACAAAACCTTTCCCAGAACATGTCCCAAGGACTTCCATTCTCCCCAGCCTCCATCAAGGCAGCAAGTTCACTTTGCTCTACAAATGCAATGGAATGACAGTGACTCCTGCTTCTCTTGGAAGATGGGCTGTGAGAAAAATTCAAACACCTCTTTTCAGATTCAAGTCTTTGAACAAGAAATAGTAAAGGCTTTTTTATTTTATGCTGCCTCCTCCTCTCTTCACTAACTTTACTGTATGCCAAAGAGAAAACTTCTCTCCTGCTGGAAAAAAGAAAATCTCATTTTCATCAGATAATCATTTAGAAAGATTCAGTACAATTACAAATTTATTTCAGTAAAAGGCTCAGAAAACACATTCTACATTAAAACAACAACATCAAATATAATGAAGCAGCTCGGCTAAACTCTCTACCACATCTTTAACTTTTTTAAGTCCCTCGCAGTTACCCTTTCAAAAACTGTGATTTCACCTTCTCCGCATTAGATCACCATCCTTGATCACACATGCCTGCATGCTCATATAAACACATGCTGTGGTTAGGCCTAGACATAATCTAATACTCTAGCATATCCAACTGGGCTTGAGTTGAAGCTGCTCATTTCTGTCCTGAGACCACAGACATATCTGGCACGCTAGCAGATGTTGTAATCACTGCTAGGAAGTGCAGGCAAAAGTTTCATTGTGTCAAGAGTGGAAGAAGAAAAGGAAGAAGTGGAAGAGACAAGGAAGGGAAAGGTGAATGTTCTGCTGGAGGAGTAAGACCAGACAGGACTTTCAACCATCACAGCAAGGTTAACAAGAGCTTGTTCATCACAAATTTTAGCTATAGCATTAAGGAAAGAAGTCAGCTGACTTGAAGAAGAGATAGACAACTCACCCTTTTGCAAAATTGCTAGCTACAGTAGCATTACTTAAGCAATACAGTAAGCCAGATAAGTATTACATACTTAATTCCATAATCCTCCATCAGACAGAAGTAACAAGCAAACAGCTTCTGAAAGAATATATTATAAAATAAATTATTGGCAAACATTACTCTATTAATGAAAATATTGCACAAATATTTAATGCAGAGGCACTGCACTAAATTTTACAGTAAAATTAAGTTAGGAGGTTCTTTTCTTCTTTAAGCAGAAATCAAAAAAAATGTCATGATAGTTGATTTCTAAGAGTTATGTAGTAACAGGAATTCTGCCCCCTATCACTTAAAATTACAGCAGAAAAACGAAAATCATGATATTTGTAATGGGTAAGAATTTGTTGAACAATATGTTGTTTAAGTCAAATATATGTATCCCATTTTAAAATCTGCAAAACATTTTTCTTAAAGCTAGATAATTTTAGTATGATTTCATAATTTCTTACATTTTAGATGAAGAAGGTATCTGAAATAATCTCTCCTTGAAAATCATTCTGAAAATAATAAATGGTGACCTGAGGTCCTGCTGTACCGTATCAAGAGCACCCAAGTGTTGAGAAAAGCATTATATTCACACACTATATAAGCTATAGATAGCTTACCAGGCTGGGAGTGATTCTTGCTTGTTAGCTCTCCCTTCTCATGGAAGCCCGGGTTCCTGCCAAGCCCTTCCATGTTTGCATCAGGACTGCGGAAGCCATTTACTTGATTTAGGTCCGTGGTAATGATATTAATGCGAGTCGGGATAGGTTCAAATGTAGGGTCTAATTCCAAGATGAGCCTGTTCAGCTGCTCAATGGACTGATCAATATCCAAAGTTGGAGAAGCTGGCAAGGCCCCTGCATTCAGTCCTAGATCCAGACCATTTTTGTCCTGCTGAGGCACTAATTTTGGCTTAAAACTATCACCGCTGGTGTGTTCTGCAGTTTCGCTGATACACGGCACATTTCCAAGCCCTCTCTGCACAGCATCTCTGCTGCTGGAGCCCCGCATTGGGGTGTCTGGGATCCGGGACTTTTTCTGGACACTGCTTGAATTCTCTACAGTGTTATGAATGCCAACCCTGACTTCATTCTCTGGGGCAAAACTGTACTGGTGAGCAGTGACTATCTGCTGCTGGCGTACCCAAGTCTGGGTAGAGTAGTTATTTGGGCCATAGGCTGGAGGCTGAGGCGAGACAGAAGGATTCCTTTGCAGTTGCTGTGTTGGCTTTGGCTCCGTGCTTCCAAACGATCTCTCATAGAGGGGATCCACGCCAATTCCCAGGTCTGGGGCAAGAGCACTGTGATGGTCTTCCCCTGTGTTACTTCCAAAGCCATCTGAGAGAAGGGAGTTCTGACTGCTCTTGTGGCAACTGAAGTGGGTGGAGTGCTGACCTTCTGAGGAGGACAAAGTTCCAATGCTGTCCACACTGTGAAGGTCATGATTGGGCATTTCATCATCCAGAATATCAGTCTCCCTGTCCTTCAGCTTGGTGTCTCCATTCACATGAAACTGAGCTGGAACTCTGTGGCGAATACCACTGTACTTGCTTCGGACATCAGTCATATCCTTGGTGGTACTGAGAGAATCCTCCAGACCAAAACCACTAAGTAGCTTGTCAAGTTCTGCCTTCTCTTGTGGGCTTAAACCCCTTTTGCCTCCTGGAGCCAGGCGCTCCTCAGTTTTGTCTGTCCTGATAGAAGCTGTTGAATGTCCAGAATCACTGCTGACAGAGAGGGTATGATCACTGTGATCGGGACTGCTGGCTACAGGAACACTGTGAGCAACACCAGGGATGCTGGTGTCCGAAGAGCTCTTCTTTCTCACTTTTGCATACAGACTGCCATCAATGGGACCCTGGGTATGCAGCACTGTGAAGAGACAAGCAACAGGCAGAGAAAAGGATAAGGTATTACATAAGAGCTCCGAATGGTGTCATATAAACATTGCAGAAATAGTACTAATATTAATGTTCTTTGTTCTGCAAAACTAAATTGGTTCTACAAAACCAGTATTCACCAATGCTGCTATCTTCTTTTGTATTTCAATTTACAACAAAGTTCTGGATGAAAACATAACATGACATCATAGCCCAAGATCAAAGGCAGTTCTCTCTGTTACACTTTTTTGGAAAGAAATTCATGGCTCTAAAAACTCTTCACCCTCATTTGAGCTACACTATTACAGTTCCAGTGGCCACCATGTTTTCTATTCAGAGCAAGAATGCGAGGAACCTTCAACCTTGCTTGATTTGAACCTATATCATACAATTACCAGTTTGTTCATTCCAAATTGATGGTTCAACTCCACTACAAAAATAGCATTTGCTTATTTTCTTGGTGGAGCATGAAAACAATAGGCTTTCAATCAGATTTGCAAGCCCTTGGTAAACACAGCAATTTTGCAGGAAAATGCATCAACCCAGTTCGCTAAGGCTGGGTACTGAAAACACCTGCTTCCAATTACATGAGCACAACTTAGTACCCTCTAATGAAGCTGGAATGCCCAGAAGAGCTCAGTGAGACAAGTTTCACCTTTTTGCAGGGCTAACAAACTCAAGTGAAGGGCCTCGGTGATGTGACTACATTGCTTTTGATCTCAGAACCATGTTACGGGCATCTGTGGATGCTGCTGCCTCTTGCTATCTAGAGTGTTTTTTGAACAAATGCACACATTTTCCCCTTCTACAGCCATCATTCATTGCTTTGTAATCCATCCTCATCATTTCTTTTCTAGAGCAACGAAAGATTAGCCTAAAACATACAGTAGAAAGTCAAAGTGCTTGGCCTCTCTCCAACGTACATGCCTCTAAATATATATCACGAATGCAATGTTTTAGATATTATACTTTACTGCTGACACTTATAACAGGAAACATTTATTCTGCAACAACAATTACAAAATATATACAAGACAGGTAATCAAAGCTGTTGACAAAACACTTTTTGCTCCCCAAACAAAGCAAACTTGAGCAGATTTTTACATATAAGTAGTAAGTAAAAAAAAAAAAAAAAAAAGCCATGATCCTTCTGAGTTGAAAACACTACTGTGAGAACAACCTCTTCCATGTTATTTCAATATTTCCAGCACTGGTATTGGGTAAAACTACAGAACACTGAGCAGAGCATTTTCCCTTTGGAACATTTTTAAAGCTCAAGAGTTTACTCAAAGACAGCTTCCTTTATCTGAACCACTTCTACCTACCTTTGCCTGTCAGGATTCTTTAAAGGTCTTCTTGCTATTACAGATCCAGGAGAATAAACTAAGCCCCAAGAAACACATTCTTACAATGTATGGGCCGTGGCCCTGCATGTAAAGGGTGGTTGGACTAGAAGATCTCTAGAGGTCCCTTCCAACCTCAATGATTCTATGGTTCTATGGTTCTATGGCCTAATCCTTTACTGGATTTGTTCATGCACCTCCCACAGTCATCAAGCAGGTTCCACCAACGGGAGGTAGAGGCTCATACCCAAAACTGAAAATGAATGTGATTCTTAATTCTGGTCTTATAAAAAGGTTTTACAAGCAAATATTTCTACTGAGCATCAAGCCAAGAAAGTAGAATGAGTGGTTCTATTTTGAAAGGTTTCAAGGCTCAATTACCAAAGTATTAAGCAGAAGTTTGAGAATAAATTTCCCCTACCATGGTTAGAAAATTGTTTGATAATAAGAAAATTAAACCATTAAAAACTTAGGAAGAGAGAGATTTTTGTCAAAGGCAACCAACAGCAGGCCGAGAGAGGTGATCCTGCCCCTCTACTCAGCCCTGGTGAGACCACATCTGGAGTACTGTGTCCAGTTCTGGGCTCCACAGTACAAGAGGGATGTGGAGCTGCTGGAGAGAGTCCAGCGCAGGGTTACAAGGATGATCAGAGGCCTGGAACATCTGCCCTATGAGGAGAGGCTGAGGGAGCTGGGCCTGGAGAAGAGAAGGCTGAGAGGGGATCTAACCAGTGTATATAAGTACCTCAAGGGAGGGAGTGCAGAGGATGGTGCTGGCCTCTTTTCAGTGGTGGCCACCGACAGAACTAGAGGTAATGGCCACAAACTGAAACACCAAAAGTTCCACAGGAACTTAAGGAAATTTTTTTTAACAGTGAGGGTGACAGAGCACTGGAACAGGCTGCTCAGAGAGGTTGTGGAGTCTCCTTCTCTGGAGATCTTCAAAACTCGCTTGGATGCAGTCCTGTGCCACGTACTCTAGGTGACCCTGCGTGTGCAGGGGGGTTGGACTAGATGACCTCTAGAGGTCCCTTCCAACCTTAAGCATTCTGTGATTCTATGATTCTAACAGCTTAGTCTCAACATGGGAATTCCAGAATTAAAAGATCCACTGACAGCCCAATAAATTTTAATGTCAGCTGTATCACATAGTTTCAAATTATATTTAAAATAGCACATGGGCATGAAGCTTCAGAATATTACTAGTTAGCCTTTCTGGTAATGCTATTTTAGGAAAAAAGCACTATTCATAATTTGTATCCACAATGGCAATGAATTCCTCAATTTATAATGGCAAGAAAAGTGGTCCGGTTGGAAAAGGCATTTGTTATGCAACATACTGCCAAGTTTCCATCAGTTAAAACACTGTTCTACACAAGAGTGTATAACTCTTCCCATATGACCTATGATAGGTTCAATAGATTTCAGCCAGTAATTAATGGACAACTTTTTTTTCTTTCTAAAGGCTAGGTACTATTCGTTGCCTGCTGTTGTTTTTAAAAACAGCACAGGCAAAAGGCCCCAAACACTCCTTTTTAGAACAAGCCATCAGGAGAAAATAAAAACAATAAATAAATAAATAAATACCACAATTCCAAAGCCAATTCCCCTTGCCACAGAACTTCTATATAGTAAAACTGCTAGAAGCTTGCTGAAGTTTATGCTATACAATGTGCAGATTCCATAATGACAAAAACTACTATGCAGGAAGTCAAAAGTACACAGATACTTTGAAAGAGCATTTATATTTTAATGAAGAGAAATATAGTAAGTAAGGAAAAGATCACCAGTTGACAGTTTTCCAACTCTTTTTTTGTGCTATCACTTCTCAAATGCACTGATTGTTGCAAGGACAGTGATGCACACTTTGAGGTTTGAGTTGAAAGGATATAAAAACTTTCATAGGCAATTACTTAATAAAGTTACCACAATAAATTGTTAATGTTCAGAAAACGAACATTTGCCTACTCTGTTGTAGGCAAAAATTTCCTTGTGGTTAGTTTTCAGTAAATAACAATTAAAAATAAATAAAAAAAACCCCACTGCTTTGACTTCAATAGCTAAGTATTTCGATACAAATAGACTTAAACAGATTACAGTTTTGGACTGGAATATGGGAATATAAATACAGGGCTCATACTCTTGAACCTTTAAGTCCTCCTGTGTCTCTTCTGTTACCCAAAACTAGGTACAGTCCTGTATACCTTTCAAACTCCCATGAACCAGCCATAAGTCAACCATAAATATCTCACATCCCATGAAACACAACATGTAAAAGTGATGTCCCGTATAGAAAGGCAGACTACTGACCTGAGGATCTGGTACATTGGGACTCTACAAGGCTTAGAATTAACCTAGCCCAATACTTATCCTGTATGTTGTACGTTACGTTCAACCACAGCCAATGTGGAGGTCTCGCAGACTAGCAACTGTACCAAAAAAGCTTTTGTTCTGAAGAAGAAATGCTCTACTTTCCCAGAGTGCCTCTATGAAAAATTATGACATTTAATTTGAGAAAGAAAGAAAAACAAAAACAGTGAAACAGAAAAAAAGAATATGATTGTTTGAAAAGACATTGTTTTCTAAATATTTTTAAATATTAGGGCTAAATATTTTTAAACAGTACAGTTCCTCAGTATCTTTTAAATGCCATTACAAATTAGCACCATTGGGTTTAAATACCAAAACACTTTTTGACATAGGGTTAATATTTTGTAGATTATTATCTTTGTTTACTGGTTACATATTTATTTTGCAAACTGGAATACTCAGGTTTTGCTTCTTTACATTGGGCTTTGAATTTGATGATTGCAATATTCAGGAACTTTTTTTCTGAATACTGAATAATTTTTCTAATAGATATGGAAGTTAAAAGTCTGTCTTTGAACTCTGAAGTGACCACATTGCTAATAAATGTTTAATTCATGACTACTCAAATTATAGTTTTAATCTGAGCTATAGTTTGTAGTGAACACATTTCAGATTTCTTCAAATAAGTAGTGTTAACTGAAAAGCATCAAGGAAGGGTGCAGGAATGTTTCAGACAAATAAATCAGATGAAGGAAGGAAAAAAATTGCTAGAGAAATCTTTCCTTCCCCCTACCTGTCATGGAGATGAAAATTTATTCTTTTTGCAAATATAGCTTTTCAGAGGTACTGAACATATTCATCTTCCCAGAAAAATTGCTACTGTGAAGAACAGCATCTGTATTTGGTAGAAGCCTGACCAAGACACAAATACAAATACACAGAACAGTTATATTTCCCTGATTTCTCACAGGTTTTGCCTCAGGATCACTAAATATAAAATTTGTTTGGAACAGACATAACACAGTTAGTGAGATGGAAAGGTTCATTACCAAAGGGGCAAAGTTTACATATAGTAGGTTTTTCCTGCAGCATTTTGTGTGTAGTGATATTACACTGATTAAAATATGCAATTCAATGAGTATATGAATATCCCTACACTGCTTCTAACTGTGCATCTGGAAGCATCTCATTTTTTACCGGGAAGCCTCAGTAAATCTCCTTTGAAACAAAAGAGGAAACTATGTTATGGTCCTTGCTAAAAAAAAAAAAAATGGTTGAGAAGAAAATCCTTACAATCTGAAATCCTCTCTACAGAGACTAGAACCACTTTGTAAAAGCA